TTTCTCCACTGAACTACATCCTTGGCCCTTTTTATTTTTTTTAAATAGGGTCTTGCTGAGTAGCTCACACTCTCCCGAAATGTGTCATCTCCTGCCTCAGTCTCCCCAGCGGTAGAAGTGCAGATATACACCATCATGGTTGGATTTCTGGTTTGTTTATGCGCGGTCCTTGTTGCTGTTGTTGTTTCAGGACCAAGCCTCTAAGAGAAAGCTGCTCATTAGGAAGATGAACATGGAGGAAACCTCCAGTCCATCACACACAGAGATCCCAATGCAGCAGCACAGCCAATATGACTCCTTCAAAGGTTTATGACTCCAGTAATTGACTTCAAAGATACTGAAGTGGAAGAAACGGTGGACAAAGGATTCAAAGACTGACCTAAAATCCTCAGTGAATTCAAAAGGATACGAATAAGTAGCTGAATGAATTAAGGCAAAACATTATGGGATATGAAGGAGCAATTAAAAAGAGAGAGTCTGGTGGCTGGAGAGATGGCTCAGAGGTTCAAAGCATTGACTGCTTTTCCAAAGATCATGAGTTCAACTCCCAGCAAACACATGGTGGCTAACAACCATTTGTAATGAGATCTGGTGCCCTCTTCTGGCGTTCAGGCAAACATGCAGACAGAATATAATATATATTAAATAAATAATATATATTTATTATATATTAAATATAATATATTAAATATGTATATAATAAATAAAATAAATGTTTAAAAAAAGAGAGAGTCTGAAAAAGACTCCAACCGTAAATTGTCAGCCCCAAATACATGCATAAAAGCAATGAATCCAGTATTATGTAACAGTAATAATTCAAAAAGAACTCATGAGTTTCAGAGGGAGTGAAGGAACACAGAAGGAACTAGAAGAAGAGAGGGAAGGGTGGTATGATGTGAATTCAGTTCTGAAGTATAAAATTCTCATAAAACCCAGGCATGGTGGTACACGCCTTTTCTCTCAGCACTTGGAGGGCAGCAGAAGTGGATCACTGAGAGTTTGAGGCCAGCCTGGTCTACACAGTAAGACAGGAACAAAAAACAAAGCTAAAAATAAAACCAAGATAGTACTGGGAGCTATGACTTATGCCTGCAATCCCAACCTCATCCCGGCACTCAGGAGGCAAAGACAGAATGATCAAGAGTTTGAGGCTGGACTGAGTTCCTTAGTGACTCAATAGAAAAACAAAACAAAACAGCAAAATGCGATAGCATAATTTACATTCACCAAAGCAAAACTGCTGCGATGACACAGCAATATATGTTGCTCGGGTTGCAGACGAGCAGAGACAGTGGTGCACCCTTGCAGGAGTGGATAAGAGCAGTCACTTGGAGAAAATCTGAGAACTTTAGACACAGGCCTGTCTTAAAGTCAACAGTCGCACTCCTAGATATAAACATAGCTTCCCAGCCATTTTAGGCCACAAGAAATAATGATTGTGTGGCTCTTAGGAGCAGGATGGCAAGACTGTTCAGGGTCAGAACCAACACATCCAGGAGGTTACCCTCAGGGATAAAGGCTCAGGGATGGGAAGCTCTGCCAAGGATACCATGAACCAGGCCCCAGAACACAGGTAGCACCTCCTAGGTGTACTAACTCCTGACTGGAAATGTCCTCTTCCGCAGCAGAGTGGAGGCTGGTATGGTGGCATCACCTGCAGTCCCAGCACATGGGAGGCAAAAGCAGGAGGATCGTTAGCTCGATACTTCGCCGGGCTACACAGTAACACAGATCCCATCTTTTAAAAAAAAATGAGGGTAGGGAGGCTGGAGAGATAGCTCGGCAGCTAAGAGCAAGTGCTCTTACTTGATGCTCTTACAAAGAACCCAAATTTATTTATTTCTTCCTTCCTTCCTTCCTTCCTTCCTTCCTTCCTTCCTTCCTTCCTCCCTCTCTCCCTCCCTTCCTCCCTCCCTCCCTTTCTCCCTTCCTCCTTCCCTCCCCCTTCTCTCTCTCTCTCTTTCTTTCTTTCTTTCTTTCTTTCTTTCTTTCTTTCTTTCTTCCTTTCTTTCTTTCTTACCAGCACCCACATCAGGCATCTCCTAAGCCAGTTCCAGAGGATCTATCACCCTCTTCTGGCCTTCTTAGGTACCAGACACACATTGTGTACAGCATACAGGCTCATTCATACACACAAAATAAAATATTTATGTTTAAAAAACAAACCAAAGGCATGGAATGGCATACAGATTGAGATTAAATCAGTATGATAACACACTAATTCCATGGTTGCTAATTCAATGATTCACTACACTTTATTTCAATCCCAGTGTCAATACAGGGGCACTTTTAGGGCTGTTAGTGACCATGTGCAAATGGGATTAAAAATTAAAGTCACTCAAAGGCCAAGTGTGTTCTCAATTGGGGTCAAAAATGTGGACCCTCTTCCCTTTTAAGCTGTGACCAAATATCTTTTCCTTAGCGCCACATACTTCACATTTTTGTGCTTTACTGATGATTTCCCCCTAAACACGGCCCCAAGTGTTGAAGTCTGGAGTTCTTCCACACAAGACAGCTGGAGGTGCCTTACACAGACACAGGCATGTGAGATAAGCTATGCTCAGACAAGAGTTAGAAGTCTGTTTCCCATAAAGTCAATTGTCATAAGCCAACAGTATAGAATGAGCAAAGAATGCTTTTAACAAAATGCTCATGGAGCAAGCTCTATAGATTGGTAGATTGACAAATGCTTAAGATTAGAGAGAATTGCAGGAACTTGGCTCTATTCCCTGTGGGAGTACTTTGAAAACTGGAGTAATTTAATAGAAAACAAAGGAAACACTAGCACTCTAGAGCATTCTAGAAACCAAGGAAGGAACTCCCCAAATTTCAACTGGAGAAAACAGACATCCTTGGGCAAATTTTGACAACATTGGTGCCTCATCGCCCCTGCAAGGCCTTCTTGGGTTTCCATTCTGGACTTTTAAAGTATACCCTTCTACATGCTTATATGTACTCTCAAATAACACCTGTGCCTGGTTTCGATTTTTTGTTTTGATTTGTTTTTTGAGACAGCATTTCTTTGCAGCTTTGATGCCTGTCCTAGAACTAGCTCTTGTAGACCAAGCTGGCCTCGAACTCACAGAGATCTGCCTGTCTATGCCTCCTGAGTGCTGGGATTAAAGGCATGCACCACCACCACCCAGCTGCCTGATTTGGATTTTTAATTCACAAATATGCATCCAAATCCATGAACTCTTCTAGAACCTAGTGCTCTGCAGTCATGCTTGCCTTTGAAACATGTTGGACGCGGCCTTGGGCTGTGGACTGCCTCCATTGCATCTACTGGGTGCATGGGCCAAGGTCCGCATTCATGCACTCCCTTACCCAGGGAAATTCAGAGAGTTCCCCAAAGGATTTCCCTCATTGACATCCTCATGAATGTGTCCTTGCCCTCACCATAGTGGGTTCTTCCCTCTGAAAGGGCAGCACTAGTTACCTTTTTGAGCGATATCTCAAAAGGGATATAAGAACTTATTTGTGTGCTTAGAAAATTGCCAGGCACATAGTGATTTCTGTTCTACCAAATTACCCGCTCAAGGGGGTGCTCTCTACGAGCTGCACCCTCCACCTAAGGATAGGGAAGACTACCAGTTGGAACCCCACTCACCCTTGGTAGGGTTAAAGGTATTGTTGTGTTTGCAAACCTGCTATGTGAGCATTAATTTTGGTCTGCAGCTTCAGGATCATCCAGGATCAGTGACACTGAATGCCTTTGTCCTCATCCTTGGAGAGTCCCTCCTCTTTGCTTTACCTCGGGATGAGGATGGGATGGAGTCTGAGAACGGGATAGGGTTTGGTGAAAATTGCAGGCTGCTAACATGGCGTCATGGGTGCATGGCCGCTTGTAATCATAGTTGCTGTCGCCACAGCCTGTGGCTCGAAGACCATCTTCTATCTAACTGACCCTTTTGTGGAGCACTGATAGATGCTATGGGCTTCCTTGCCCATTGTCCTGTTGAACAGTTGATCTGGCTGTCCTGTTGAACAGTTGATCTGGCTGTGGAACAGGGGCTTCCCGAACATTTCTTTGTTGAGTGCTTCACAGCCATTCTGACACTGGATCCTCACAAGCCTCTGGCCCATGTGTGGCTACTTTCTCCACTTTACAGGAGGAAAGAGCCTCAGAGGGTGCAGGTCTCCTTCCGTGATACATGTCTGGCCGGAGGAGGTGAGAAAAAGAGAGACAAGGCTGACTGCACCACAGGCTCAAGACTCCACCACCTGCACACACACACCTCCCACCCCCCCATGCCCCCACACCTCCTATGCTCCAACCCCCCTCCCATCCCCAGACCCCATCCGTAGGCTTGGGCTAGCTAGGCTAAGAATTCCAAGCAACCAAGCAGCCTCATTCTTATTGGCTAGGGCCTCGACAATGGTCTAACAAGGATTGATCTGGTTGGTGGAGGGTAGGCCAATGAGAAGGCCAGAATGAAGGCATGACGTCAGTAGAAGATTACCGTTGTTTGTGTTTAGCGCTAGTGTGTCTATGGTGACCGTGTCTCTGAAGGCCCTGCTGGTCTTGCCAAGACTAGGGATACCCTTGTCCTCACAAGCCAGGCCACGTAGACTAACACTATCACCATGAGCTCTAACAAACAGACGGCCGTTGAAGAAGTAGGCGTGGACTCCGAGGGTGAGGAGGCCCCTGAAGTCTGTCTGGAGGGCCCATGCTCACTGCAGGATCTCGACCTGAGCCATGATGTGGGATCTTCACAGAGTAGCCTAAGTGAGGATGACGTCGAGACTGAGGACAACTCTGACCTTGAGTCAGGGTCCAAGCTACAGGTGCAGGATCACAGCGAGCAGTCTGTCTCCTCAGCCAGCGACAAAGAAGACTTTATGGCTCACTTGCCTCTTGTCGACGACTACGAGGAGGAGAAGGAGGAGGAGGAGAAGGAGGAGGAGGAGAAGGAGGAGGAGGAGGAGGAGAAAGAGGAGGAGGAGGAGGAGGAGGAGGAGAAGGAGGAGGAGGAGGAGAAGGAGGAGGAGGAGGAGGAAAAGGAGAAAATGGTGCAGCAGCCAACCGACCAGATAAGTCAGGGTGTTAGAAGCCACTCCTCCTCAAAAAGCTGTACCGCCCAACAGTCTACCCCTTGGGCAGGTACAGAGGCAGACCGCAGCAGGAAAGGCAGGCTGGGCAAGAGATTGGTAGATGTGAAGAGAGTCTCTGCGGCCCCTGTCCACCACAGGGGGGCCAAAGGAGGCAGGGTACGCAGGACAAAAAAGAAAAAGAAAAGCACCAAGAGTAAGAAACCAGTCCCTGAGGACATCCCAGAGCCATCTCCCGACCCTGACTCAACCTCGGATGAAGAAAGCGAGATTCAAGTGATGAGGGTGAGCATTTGCTTCAAGAATGGAGGGCAGATCATATCCGGTAATGCTATGGATCCTGGAGAGAAAAACAAAAAAGAGGATGTCCAACCCAGGGGCAATTTTCATCATATGACTGGCTCTCTGCAGGTGGGTGCTCCCAAGAGCCGTGCCTTGGGCATGGGAAAGCTGGGAGCCTCTTGTTCTAACAGAAAAGCAGCTGCGTCCAGAGGCAAGGAACCAAGCAGGCCCCGTTTCCCAGGAGCTGCTGCGGGTGGGCTTGTGAAAGCCAGTTCTAAGAAAAAGTCAGCCCAGGAGAAGAAAGCCATACAGGATGCCCCAAGATTCACCGGGCGAAGACCTGTCCCACTGTGGGGACAGAGACCAAAGGCAGCTCCTGGGGAAACAGCCACCTTCCCTCCGATAACCTGCGTCTCCACACTTGAGAGTTCTAAAAAGCACTGCGCAACAGCTCTGGAAGCCATCGAGCCAGCACATGGGACGTCCAGAAAGAGAGCAACAGCAAGGAATACAAGGGAGGCCCTGCCAGCAGCCAGGGCAGACAGAGGCCTTGTGCGTAAAGATACCGTGAAGAATTTGGCAGCGATGACCCCAACACCAGAGTCCTACAAAATCAAGGAAATTCCCCGTGCCCGAGTGAGTAGAGCACCCTCTGTCCCCTCTCACCTTGCCCTTCCCCTCCCCTGCACAGACCATTGCTCTGCCCCTTCTGCCTCTGCCTTGGCCTGGGGGTGGTCAGTGGACACTCACCCTGATTCGGATGTCCGGTGTGGGGTCCTTGTCGTAAGGAAGGGTGGATATGAGGGAGCCACAGTTAGGTGTTGGCTACTATTCCCCTCCCTGTGCATCTCCTCTCTCTAGCCAGGCAGGGTGGGAAGCCGGCCTGGCTACAGTCTGGGTGATTTGGATCCAGAGAGCCCTTCCAGTGTGGGCTGCACAGCTTGGCTGTAGTCAGTCCCAAGGGCCTCCTGATCCTCCTTCCTGGCTCTTCCCCAAGGAAGCCAGGCCAGGACCTGAGCCTTTTCAGTGCCTGGGGGCTCCTTCCTGACTGAGCTCTGCCTCCTGACTTGAGGATGAAGGAAGAAGAGAAGGTGTGGATGGGATGAGCCCCACAAGCCTCCATTTTGTTTCCCCACCTGCCCCTCAGCCCCTCCACATGTACTCACTGAGAAATTTTTGTGTCAGCTTCCAACACGCAGGGCAGTGCGACCTTTTACATGCATGCATCGTGGAGAAATGAGCAGTGGAGACCCCAGCTTCAGAGCACCCCAAGTTTCAGCAAATTCCCAGCTGGTAGCCCAGAAGCGGAGAGGCACCAGCGCCAGAACAGCTGCGCCCACTGGTAAGTCTTTGGGCTTTGAGAGCAGTGGAACAGAGGAGGGACGCTTTAGGCTCTATCACTGGGGGATTGCAGTCTTTTTTCTGGGCTTCCCTATCTAGGCAGACAGCCCACAGGACTGGTTGTGGGCGGGCCATGTTGTTAGATGAGTGTGATTGTGGTGTACGTGGCTTTAAAGGGTAGGACAACTCCAACTCTAGAAGCTGGCTCAGCACTCCAAAGCTTTTTCTGGTGAGCCCTATTTGCTGGCCTCTTCCCAGGTCATGGTAGTGGCTATGGCCTGACTAGAACCGGCCCATAGCGGTCTGTCTCTGCGCAGCAGGGAAGACAGGCCCAGAAGCTGAGAAACCAGGAGGTACAAGTTGCTGCCAGCAGAGGGCGATGTTGCCTCATTTTAGACCTCACCAGGCTCTTCCCACCTGGGCCCCAAGCCTGGATGCTGCACTCTGTTCTCTTTCAGGTGACCAAGGTCCATCTGTGGTCTCCCCACTCCCTGTTGGGGAGAAGCAGCATCAAGTACCAGGGACACTGGGGTGTCAGCAGGTAAAATTTTCTTATCTGCAAGAAATGACAGCCCTGCTAGATGGAGGGAGGGAGGTAGTAGCCAAGTTAACCTGGCTCCTGTGCCCGCTCACACAGCACACACACAGTGTACCGTCCCACACTCCACAGAGAGAGGGTACCTCCTCTCTGCTCAGGATTGAGTGCCAGTCTTGTCGCAGGACTGTGGGGTGGGATGTAGGACTGGGAGGACTGTGAATGGAGCGGGGAGAAGACCAGGACATTGAACGATAATTTTTTTTCCCCTCTGTTTTCTGGACTAGTGTCCTTTGCTAGAGAAAGAAGCATACAAGCTGAGAAAACAGCTAGGTATGACTGACCCTGGGCAGGGATGGGTGAGGGCAGGGGCAGAGGGAGCTAGGTACGTCGGCACAGATACCCAGGAAAGGCTAGCCAGCTGCTACTACTATATTGTGGGGGGTGGGGGGAGGGGGAGGTAACATCAAGCAGATAAGACCGTGAGTCCTCCTCGGATTGAATGCTGTAGCGACCAACAGAGCGGTGCGCAGCTGCTCTCCCACGTGCTCTGCTGAGTGCCCACCCACACGGTTCTCCTGCAAAGGGCATTTCCACATGGTGCTCAGTGAGCGGTGGAGGAGTCAGTCCTGGGGACTTTTGCAAATTGCCAGTTGGGGAATCCCAGTGGATAGAAGGGGAAAGCGGGGCAATGAGTGTAGTTGAGTCCTATGTGTCTTTGTTTGGAGTAGCCATTCGTACCTCTCTGTTCCAGCCGTCATGCGGGCCCTCAACAAAAGGTTCCAGGCCCTTTGAAGTGAACGTTCTGCTCTCCACAGCCCTTCCCCCACTCCTTACTGTTAAGGCAGCCAGAGTGGGCCTGACTCTGCTCTGCCTGACAGGCTGAGCCCAGCTTCCCTGTAGGAGAGATCAGACTACAACTCATGGATCCCCGGGGCTGTGATGTGGCCCTGCTTCTTCCTTCTACCTGTTCTACAGCCAGAGCCACCTTTTATGCCCCTCCTTTTGTCCCCTGTCTGCCCTGGTGACAGATGTTGCATATTAAAGTAGTTGTGTCCTGTGGTCTGTCTGCTCTTTCTCTTTTTGTGGGAGATGGGGTTCAGAAAGTATGGGGAGCTGTTCTTTCCCCAGCCCCTTAAGAACAGTAGCCCTAGGGGTAACTTGGGCTAAGCACTTCTGCTTCTGAGCAGGTGCCTTGCGCTCCAGTTTATCCCTGTGCACTGGGTTTGGGTTCTGCCCAGTCAGCGTTTCCTCCCTTCCCTATTGCCCTGTCCCTTCCCTGACTACCGTCCTCCTCTGGGACAACCATAGAACCCATTTTTGCCTTCTGTTACCTTCATTCCGCAGAAACTCTGAGCCCTTCCCTTGGACTTGGAATCATTTCAGCAGACATTAGGGCTCACCTTACCCCTTTCCTGGGCTCCATCCTTTTTTTTTTTTTTTTAATGTGCATTGGTGTTTTGCCTGCAAGTATGTGGAGGCCAGAAGAAGACATTGGATCCCCTAAAACTGAAGTTCTGGACAGTTGTAAGCTCCCATGTGGGTGCTCGGAATTGAACACAGGTCCTTTGGAAGAGCAGCCAGTGCTCTTAACCACTGAACCATCTCTCCAGCACCCCCTGCCACCAGGCTCCATCTTTTGCTGCTCATTCTCTCTTTGTGGAGGCATCACACTCTGGGATGACTTGTCCAGAACTTGCACATTATCCCTGGCCTTCTGAGTAGCCTTTACCTTCAGTTTCCAAGTTCTCTGCTTTATCCCTGATCCATTGCAGTAGAGGGGTTGAAACCAAGATCACACCCTGGTGGGCAGTGGAGCCAAGCAAAGCTGCAGGAACTCACTGTCGGGAAATGGGTTAGAGGGGAAAGGGAATACCATCTGCTCATCTCTAGAACTCAAGATGGTGGCGTAAGTCTATAGTGGCTCCTCTGAGCCAACCTGGAGGAACTGCACACTAGCTGCTTAAGGAAGGGTCGGGGACCAGAGCCAGCACACCCTCTCATCCTGACCAGCCAACTGCCCTTCTCCTGCTCTCATTGGTTGCTAAGATGATTCATCCACACACTCAAGGATGGCAGCCACATCAGCTTTTGACCTCTTGCACGGCACAAGTTTTCCTGAATAGGATGCTTATACATCCCAGGTCTGCCTTCCAGACTGCCCCTTGAGACCCCAGTACCTCTACTTGAACCCTATGCTCTGAAGTTACCATCCCAGACAGTTGGGAGGTTTTTGTGCCTTGAGCCAGGCCCCAGCACTAAGCAAGGTTTGGAGCTCAAAGGTAATTCCATGGTTCAGTGAGGTCAGGCAGATGCGGGTTCATAAGATGCTGCTCATTTCATGCAGAATGAAGATAAATCTCAGGAGTCTATCTCCTGGTCCTCTTGTGTGTGCTTGTGAATCTGTGGATGACATGTGATTGGAGGAAGAAAGGTCTGACTCGGAAAGTGGTAGCAGCTGGGGCGGGGGAGCAAAAGCACACAAGGCAAAGCTGGTCCTCACTAGCGTGGTCCGTCAAACCCTAAGACGTGGTGAGCACGGAGTAGGAGAAAGTGGAAACTTTGGGCAGAGCAAACTCACTGCCCAAAGGTGAGGGCTGTCGAATGGTTGGAATTGCTGGGGTAGGCTCTTGGTCCTTCTTCAATGGACACCTCTCAACTGTCTTGGCCAGGGGAGATGGTTGAGTCGGTAAAGTTGTCACCTTACAAGCATAGGGACCTGAAGCTGGATCCCCTTAGAAGCTTAAGCTCACACCTGTCACTCTAGACCTGAGGCGGGACAGGGAGAAAAGGCCTGTCTCCAGAGCTTACTGCCAGCCAGTCTCGCCCGTCGGTGAGCTCTGAACTCAAGGAGAGACCCTGGCTCAAAACCCGAGGTGGAGAACAACAGAGAAAAGCACTGTGCATTGGTCTCTGGCTCCCACAAGTATGACCACACAAATACACACAAAAATTGTTTTTTTAAAAAGTAAAATTGGTTTTAAGGAAAAAGTAAATGTCTTGTCTCGGGGCAAGAATGATGTCCAGATTGTCTTCCTACAACTACAATTGATGCCTCATCTATAAAGCAAGAGTTTTCATAGGTACCAGACACATCCTAAGCAAAAGGACAGCCAGGTAGGATTACTACAGTGAAAGTAGAAAGTGGGAGGGATCAGATGCCCGTGGAAAATGGGTCAGAGGGTCCCTCTGAGCCACACAGGTTGAGTTCAGGGAGACAACACATATCCACGTGGGAGGACAGTGACCTGAGAGCCTGAAGGGACAGTGGGGACCACCCCCTCAGAGACCCTCTCTGAGAAGATGGTCTCGCTCCTCAGGCTGGGGCTCTCATCCCGAGTCACGTGGCTACCTCTGGCAAGGGTGAGAGCTGAGTGCAGTCTGACAGACTCGCAGCTGGGCTCTGGCAGCTTGCACATGGAAGCCAGTCCTGGCTGTGGTGAATTCCAGCACCAGGCACTGTTCGTGCAGGCTCGGGGCCATTGTCATCAGTACAGCTGCCTGCTGAAGCCGTGGCAGGACACCAACAGCTCTGTGAGAATACTTGCCAGCCCTGCCCTGCCCTCTGAGCACACAGCCTCTCTCATCTTCATTCAGACTTACTGCTGTCCAATACTGTTGCTGTGGTCGGCTGACCCTGCCGCCTCTGGGGAGGAAGCACAGGTTCCCAGGCTCAGGTCTGAAAAGCAAATCTGGGCCCATTGGAAAGGAGGAAGTAGGATTCTTCCCTTCCTCCCTTCCCCCCTCCTTTCTTAGTCTGCCCCCCCACCTAGAAGAGGGGTCCCCTGGAGAGCACCCAGACCCTGCCTTCTGCTATTCATTCAGCTCAGGGAGAACCTACAGTGTAGCTGAGCCGTGTTCCTGCCCGTGATGCTCTGGCACTCGGGAACCCCCACAACCTTCCACAAGGACTGGGAGCCAGGACAACGTTGAGTTCCTTTACAAAGATTGCCTGGAACTCTGGTGGCGAATAGATGGTCCTCTTCTCAAGGCCCGTGTAACTGGCCCGAGCAGCCAGGCCCCCCAGACCGGCAGCCACAGTCAGCTGTGCAGAGGCCCAGCGCTCTGCATTCGGGGCTGTGAGGTGACAGCCATACTGTCCACATTTCCACATCATCCATTTCCTCCAAAGGTGAAGCAAGAACGTCTGTTGGCCACCTGGGTCCATGTGCCCTTGGATGTTGTGACCACCTGTGTCCATGTGCCCTTGGATG